TGCAAACTAACGAAATTAAGCTACTCTACAAGGCTATTTAACAGAGTCAATTGTACTAGTGCCTTTTCACAGGATTAGTGGAAAATAGCTAACACAGTCTCAAATTTCTCACAGAAAATCTCAAGGATCTCTCCTGTTTAACACCTACTTCCCTCAAACAGTCTATCAAGAATAACTCGCAAATTACACTTCCTTCAAATTTCACTTTTCTTCCTCTGCACGAAAACCCCATATTACATCTAAACATGTTAAATTTAGTTAGTGTCCTGGCAACAGGAAATGTGTACACATATTTGCTAAAATGTTTTACCCAATGGTACATGGATTATGTTAAGATTTTTTTCGACTATTAACCTGTCTATCTAGTGCGTCAATATATATTGTTAACTTCACAGTTAACCTGCCTATCTTGTACGTCAATATATATTGTTAACTTCACAGTTAACCTGCCTATCACGTATGTCAATATATATTGTTAACTTCACAGTTAACCTGCCTATCTTGTACGTCAATATCTATTGCTAACTTCACAGTTAACCTGCCTATCTTGCACGTCAGTATCTGATATGAGAGTATTCTTATGAGCGTTCCTGTGTATGTTTGATATCCAATTGCTAAAAAATTCTTTACATACTGCTACCTATCAACATTCGACTTTTTAGGAATAAACAATTAAACTGAGAAATTATTATGATATGAAATTGTTTGTTAAAACCCTTTTCAACAGTGCTTATGATTTAAGCTTTTAAACTAGAAATAAGCCTTGCTATCATTATCATTTTTGAGTAATCAAATATCAACATTTGTTTTTCACACTCCTATGTAATGTGACCTTCATTGTTTATCCCCTTTCAGAAGATGAAGTTGATGTTCTAACCTTGGATGATAAGGAGATGGTTTCCTTTACCATGGGTGAGTCATTGTAATCTAGAATGCATTGAAATAACATCAAGGATCATTATGCAAATTTTATTAAATTTGTGAGATTAATCAAATTTTACACGCGCAACAAATTATATAATGTTATACATTCACTATTTCATTTGTAAACAGGAGGAAAGTTTTGGTCTTGTCTTATTCTTTCTTGTTGGATATAAATTTAAAATGTTCGACGTTCGCTAGTATCATTATGGTTTCCCTCTCACTATACTGGGTAGCCTATTGAGAACATGACATTATTTTGAATTTGAGACTACTGATAAAGCAGAAGTCACGTGCTTATTTAAATTCTAGTTAATACCTTATAAGAAATGTAATATTAATGCTGTGCCATATCATAACAGATCAGTTACAGTCTATTCTAACCCAAGCCAAGGATATGAGAAAGGTCACAACACCCGATAAGAAAGGTGAGTTATGTCCCTTTTGTTCAGTCTTTTTTTTTTCATAATGTTTTCACTTGCGTGATGACTTTATAGTGCTTGATATTCGTTGAATTTCTAGCCAACATTCATTCAAAGTTGAAAATGCGGCGCAGAAAAAAATGTGAACTTTGTGATTGTAATGGTTCACGTAGATCAAACCGTCATCAGCAGTAAACGATAATGCTTTCTGATGCTTAGTATACTTATCTGTCCGCAAGATGAATGTTTGCCTCCATCTAATCTGATAGCATTTGTAGTTTATCTGTGTAAACAACATGTTCTCATAATTAACATTGTCTTGGAGTTGAAGTCTCGATGCCATTCAGTTCCTGTTTCTGGAGGTTTCTGAATACAAAATACATTACAGTTGAAGCTAATACGACTGTGGATGGCACTGAAGCGAAGGAGACACCCCCATCTCCTGTTGGCAGTATGTAGAGGGTGAGGATGGAAGCACCAGAGGAATTTGAACTGTACACTTTCATCAAAACGGATGATAACAACTGAATACTGTTGATAAGTTTTCTGACGAAGAGATCAAGATAAATTTAGCGACATGTATAAAATTTGTCTTCTTTTTTATGTACAACGGAAATGTATTCCAATTATGTGTTTGTCATACATGGTGTAAAAACCGTTTTATTATGATTCCTTTTGCGAATGTTGAATTATTTCCCGTGGAAATATATTGATATGGTAGGTGTCGTCGATAAAGTAGTGTCTCCTTGTACTGTTTCAAGGTGAAAGGTAACAACTCAACTAATTCGAGTTTAACTTACATTTTCTAATTACGTTTCGATTTTTGGAATATTATATAAACGTATTTGTGTACATCAGTATAGTCCCTCAAATTTCCACGATCACATGACGAATTCACGATATACGCATTTAGTCTGTCAAGTCCGATTGCCTGTAATGTATGGTTTTAGTGCTGTTTTATCGCCAGTAAGAAATGATACTTGAATGGCAGACAAACTGAAATCTAAGCGTGTGCTACTTGATTCTATAACTTTCTTATTCATACCGGCAAAACGTTTCCAAGGGGAATAACTCTTTTTCTCTTACTGGAACTTTTAATCTATATCATAGATATATGTTTAAAATCTGAAAATGTGTTATGTACTTTTTTTGATGTTAATATATGCTTACTAAACCCTTTCTTTCGCATGTATAGTAATCCATGTGGTATCCTATTAATCATGGTTGTAGTGTAAACATACAAAACGTACTTATGTATCGCAATTGTTTGTTGATAAATTGTAGCGTTATCATAATATTAGATTGATAGAATTGTTGTTAATTATTGTACTTCTGTGATTCTGAAGGTTCAAACATTGAAACCAACGTTCAAAATCAAATCTTAATAAAACTGATTTAAAAACAATATATTGTTCGCTTTTTTTAGCGTCAAATTTCAATTTTGTATTGATGTGATAAAGATCTCGTAAATCCTATATATATATCAGACAAATATGTAGGTAGCAATTTATTGGCTATTTATCACTACAACAAACTCACTTTTCTATCTTGGCGTGAAATGTGGTGGGCTTGATTTACTAATGTTTTAATATAATCCAAAATAAATGGATTTGTTATTCTGATTATAATATAAGGGAATATTATGTTTAAAGGAAAATAGAGTTGTACACTCTCCTTGTCGAATATTCGTGATGAATTACTGATGATATGTCAGAAAATGTTTGGAAAATGTGTGTCAGTGTAAGGTGATAGTATTTGCTTATATTAGAATACTGGACTCCATCCAGATGGCAAAGTACACGTTAAAGTCTGCTTCAGGCCTTAACAGATTAGGTAATATGAAAAATAAACACCCGAATAGCAACACTTGTCTAACTATATTTTTATTTAAATCGAAAAGTAAACAGAGACATAGAGACAAAATAATTTAACGATAATTGTATCAAAACCACTCCAATAATGTGTAACGGTTTCCATATAGACAGATTGAAATACAATGTACAACAAATAAAAAAGTTAACGTTATGTTATATTGGCAGTTCTGCTCACAACCTTATATACGGTAATATTAAACATCACAGGCTCCTAACATAAATTATGTGTTGCCAGACGTTAATAACACCATATGACTTAGACAAATCAATCTGCAATGTTCATATCTCCTAGTTCTTTAACACGGCGCGCCGTCCACTTTTCCAGACAGAGCCATATGTCAGTCAAACACTCCCTTCAGGAAAATATGCAATAACAAAATTGCCTTTCAAATCAAACGGAGAGAAACTATTTGCTAATAAAATTGCTACATTGACTTTTGTTTTAATAACGTTGCGTCAGATAACTTTAATCCTGTAAATATATTTCTTACTTATAATACGGAATAACAGTTATGTCACATGACTGACAAGCAAATGATTGGTTTGTATCTTTATGTACAGGACATTGATATTTAAGTCCATTCATTTTCTGCCTTTTGTCAGAAATGAATAATTCGGGGTATTCTGCTAGGCATCACCGCACAACATGCTGTGTGGCTACAAACACCATCGCCATGCTATATCAGCTAACAATCAGAGGAATATGAGCTCTGAATAGCATTGTCTTTCTCATAAACGGATCCTTATTGTTGAAAATGAACGTACGTTACACTGGACAGTGGGAAAGCTCTGTAATTTATTAACGATAAAAAGTTCACAGTTAAATCTTAAACTGTTGAAAATTAACCGCGTTCAAAATTAAATATCCTCAGTAGCTTTAAACCACCTAAGCAACACAGGAACCTATAGAGTGATTTTTAAGACAAACAGTATTTCTTAAACATATTTAGAACAGGTAATTTTTATAACAATTCAGTATTTCATGAGGGTTTGCATTTTTATTTCAGTGTGTATAATTCAATTATCAATAATAAAGGGAGCTAACTATGACTGACACATAACAAGTAACATTTTGGAATAACACAACATTTGATAAACGATACTTTATTGACAGTTTGATAACTGACATCAATATGTACACATTACATACTGGTGACCTAATACTGTAGCCATTACTTACAAACGGATAATTAAGACAATGACGGGTCACCATTATAACGAATACTCTGAATTTGGATGCCACTCGGTGCCATAATAATTCTGTAGTTTTGAATGATTCTTCAACAAAAAAAATCAATATGCAGTGCATTAGTATTCCAAGTAACTCATCATAATGAAAAATACTTGATATTATATAAATGCATCAATTTTACATAGAATACGTAATATATAACAAGTAACGAGTTATCTCCCTTCAGTGTTGACCTCCGAGACTAAGTTAAAGTCATACCCGACCAATCATGATAAGTTTCGTACTGTTTCCTGTTACTTCCTGAATCGTATTACATTCCCAGACTTCCGAAATAATCCACAACATCCATTTGTGATCCTTCCAGTTTTATTCATCATAATATAGCGCAATACTTCCTGAAACGTTGGCCAAGGCTTATAATACATTAATTTATACACGAGAATCAAGGAAAACTGGCTATATACATAGAGAGTCACCTTTAACCTTAAACTGCAAAGTAAACGAATAGACATGTAATGTATTATTTCAGACATCTTTCTATTTTAAACAGCCTTCGGTGGGTTGTATAGTATTGCTCAATGGTTTGTCCATTCATGTCGCTCTCTTAATCTTCATCTCGACCTTTCGGAGTGAGTAGTCATCAGATTCTTTGAGTGTATACCAAACGATGCCGTCATTGAAGGAGGACTGAGAATGTGAGTACCAACCTGTCCGGTACTTACCGTTTAGGTTACTCAGATAACATGTGTTGAACCACCATCCCGCCTTGCAATCAACTGCACATTTGCGCATATTCAAGTCATTGTCAACATCTTCTGTGCTGAACTTCATACCGTTATGATAACTTAACGAGTCTCCGGCGTTCCCGCGATAATCGCCAACATGTAAGGTAAAGTCGCGGTCTTGGCCGTCGAGACGGAATCCTTCGTACTCTGCATATGCCTGATTACCCTCCCAGTCCCACATGTCAATCCGCAAAATGTAGTTCTCTTGCTGTGTCAGTCGATGGATGACTTCGTTCCCGATCCAATGTTCATCGTACAGGTTGCCGAAGCCATATTTATACTCAATCCATCTGCGTTCAAAGTTGATTAGCCCATTTGTACGGCGTTGCAATACGGTGTATGCGGTATTGTTTACAAATTGGCAGTAAACATCATCCTGCGCGATCGCCGTTCGCGGCTTGATTTGATAAACTCCACTTACGTCATATCCGAGTTCTTTAAGGTCATGGCAATCTGCAAAACAACAAAACTTGTACATTTATCCTAGAAAAATTCTCAAAAATTATAGTAACGCATAAAATATCAGAATGTCGGCTAGAATGTGATGTCATGATACATCTGTGTCAGTAATTTCGCATATTTACAGACAAAATACCATGATCCATTTATGAACTATTTGTAACAAAATGTGAATTAAGTTGCCATCTTTCTGACGACGTCTTGCTATGAGTGCCTTCATCGACAAGGAACTTGGTGAGAGATGGAGCCTTAAGGCCTTATATCTAAACTGTTATCACCGCTTACACATCATAAACAGAAACTAAGTCCATTTTATTGTTAGGAGCCTGCGTCAAGTAATACAATTGCTAAAAATGAACAGCTGTAGACTATTAACATTTTACGAGTCGAATACTAGGTATACTAAAAGTATGATAAAAATTTGATCTTATATTTTTTATCATTCTGTCATATCATTTTCGTTTTCAAGGAAGTTTTCTTTATTTCTTAATTTTTTATTTACGTATCAGTAAACCTAACCGAACTCGACATCTCCCCCTCCCCCGTATCAATAAACCTAGCCGAACTCGACATCTTCCCCCTCCCCCGTATCAATAAACCTAGCCGAACTCGACATCTCCCCCCTCCCCCGTATCAGTAAACCTAACCGAACTCGACATCTCCCCCCTCCCCCGTATCAATAAACCTAGCCGAACTCGACATCTCCCCCCTCCCCCGTATCAATAAACCTAGCCGAACTCGACATCACCCCCCTCCCCCGTATGAGTAAACCTAGCCGAACTCGACATCACCCCCTCCCTCGTATGAGTAAACCTAGCCGAACTCGACATCTCCCCCTCCCCCGTATCAGTAAACCTAGCTGAACTCGACATCTCCCCCTCCCCGTATCAGTAAACCTAGCCGAACTCGACATCTCCCCTCCCCCGTACCAGTAAACCTAACCCAACTCGACCTCCAATTTCCCCTCCCAACTCCCCCCACCCCCATCCCCACCTCGCACCTACATTTTATTTCATTGTATTTGTAACATCTGTTACAGAGTTACAGACTGTGATCTGTAGGACTTCTTTCACCGACTTTTTGTATTCTTATTTGACCTTTAAACTATAAATGGGGCGACAATGATCACGTGACTGTACACAAACACGCGGGAAAATGATAAATAATCGATAGAGTCGGGAGCCATTTGGCGGTAGCCTGAGTGATTAAAGCCGTCTGCTATAGTTATTTCTGGTCCGTAACAATTAATGACAGAAGCATTCGATACCATCTTTGTGTAGTGCATACAAATACTTCAGTTGTACATCAACATGCATGTTTTCAAATCGGGTTCGCTTCTGTTAATGTCCTGGTATCTTAATTTCATTTTACAAACATAATTCATTAATTAAAGCCATTTGCGACACAATGTTAACACCCAGTAGGAACGTTTTGTTTAAATTATGGATGAAATGCGTTTTAGTTCTTTGTTATATATTCTATCCAGAAGCAAACCTATTAACATTAGCGTTTAGGGTGTTGTCTTTAAAGTCACTACAGTCGCACTGTTTCAAAATGTTATGTTCGGAGAATTCCATCATTGATCTTAAACTGCTTACGTTTACTTCGGAGTTATGCTAACTTCAATCTTTTTTATCAACCCATACAAGTCAGATATAATTAATGTATATATAAATGTACGGTCTCGTAAACATGAAGAGATATATTGACACCATTTTCAGAGTAAGATCTTTAGAGATATATCAAGGCAATTTCGGCGCATTGTGTGCAATATTAGTGCAGGGCTTGACCAAACATTGTCTCACTGTTATGTAGAGATATATCAAGGCAATTTCGGCGCATTGTGTACAATATTAGTGTAGGGCTTGACCAAACCTTGTCTCGCTGTTATGTAGAGATATCTTTACTCTCTGTATCTCTGTAAATAGAGGGACAATGGATTTAGTAATCGGTATATGCCATTATTTTTTTCTTTACTGTTCCATTTCCACAATTCATTTGGTTTCTTTGATTGTATTACAATTGGCTGTGAGTAATCTTCTGGTGCTATGACTGTTTGAAAATCGATTCACAGTAATTATTCTGACAATGAACAGATATTCAACCTATAAATGTCACACATGAATCAAACTTTGTTTCTTTGATTAATTTAATCCGGAAAATCGATACCATGGGTGGAATTATTACCAAAAAATTCCGATTCAGTGAATAAAGTTTTATATAGCAACGCTTCTCTCGTCACAAAAGCATTGTTTTAAAAGAATAGTTCACTTTGGGCCCCTGCCAAACCTAAGAGTTAATATCAATAGCTTTGCAAACAAGTCAGTCTGATTAACCGACAAATCGGAGAAAAAAAACCCTTTTCAATGGAATCTTGATAAGGTTTGGTTAATCTGTATCTCTCTAAATCTCCCTAAACTTTATGTTGTTACTCATCCACATCCGAAATTATCACAAGGTAATAATAGTACTTTGAGTAAGCACTGGAAATTATGAAACTAATATGGAAAAAGATCGTCTCTATGGGACAGACATTGCCTTTATAATCATGACAGGGAAAGGTAAGGACATCGTCACCGTTTTTCAGAAATTTGAAGTCAGCTAGACCTGTGCTAGCCTAGTAAAGGGAAAGCAACCGGCTGATGAAGAAGGGTCATTTACACATGGAATTGGAAATTCATCATGTACGTTCATGCAAAGGAATATTGAATATCAAAGCTCTAAACACGGGAAAACAAAGCACACTGAATACTCTGAAATGTTGATAAGAAATCATACCTCGAATGCATTACAAATGAGACTTGCTTTAACGGGTAATCCAAAAGACTGTACGATTAGCTAGTATTCCTTTAGAAAGTGTAAATGTGCCGGTAAGGCTGAGAAAGATATCAGACAAACCTTCTAAATTTTGTAAACAGGATATGCAAGACATGGAACTCTTGTGTGGAACATATAAAGATGAATAATCAGGGAGAAACTGTCATATATATCATTATACAAACAATCAGTAATAGCCAACCTTTCGACAGACAATGGTGAACTAATTATATACCCAGTGTATATATATTTATGTAAGATTCTCAAGACCTTTGCTTGTTTGTCAGAACCTCTGATTATCCTGAAGAGCTGTCAAACAGAGAATGGCCTTAAGAATAAGTATCTTTTCATCTTTATTTTTCTATTTTCTATCACTTAAGTCTGGTTCTGTGCTTTGTCTGTGTAAGTATATATCAAAAGATTAAAAGAGATACAATTCCAATTTGAATGATACTTACTCAATAAACAGAACGTTATACACTAGCATGATAAATTTGTGGTTTGTCTTATTTATCTACATAAAGCTAAATGTTAAGTCCGGAGAAGCAGATCAAATGTTATTTATCAAATATCCTGTACTCAAAGTACGCCGACATATATCAGCATGCGTTGTATTATTGAAAAAAAAAATATTATCTAACCTTGTATAGAAAAATAAAAAACAATTAGAACATGCCACCATTTCAACATAAATGAATATAGTCAAAATACAAACTAAGATTCAATAGAACTACGCAGGATATCAACATACTAAACACGGAGACTTCTGAAAAATTATAAGGAGAATAAAACCAGGGCCCGTATTCATGAAACCATTCTCATGCTCAAGAATATATTTTGTGCTTTAGCAAACTCTTTTTATAGTTCACCTAAATCATATTAAATAATACAAATGTCAAAAATAAACATTGAGTATATAACTTTGACTTAAAGTCCTTTCATTTTTTTTTTTTTTTTTAATCTTTGGCAAAATCAGTCTTATTTATTAATGTTGAGCTTAAACAAGGTATAAGGCTTGAGCACAAAATTTATGCTTGAGCGTGAGAACGGTTTCATGGATATGGGCCCTGGTGTTCCGGATGAGTAGAGTAAGCATCTTAGGTCAATCCATGTAAGTAATGTCACGTTCTCGAAATAAGAACAAGGTATACAACAAAGCAACAAACAGGGAAACTAATGATCATCAAACACGCCCACCTTCATTTCACTCAAAGAAACAGAATATTTTTCAATGAGATCAATAATGCGATCATAGTACTTCACCATACTTTCAAAAATTCTGCATCGACATGTAAGCATTTAAACCATAGGTTGGGGATGCAAAATGTTGCTATTCAGAAAAGGAAAATTTAAATCAGCGCGCTTATCATATAGCTTGGTGGAAAGCTGTCCATGTTGGCTTCGTTGTAGGAAAAGATCGAGGTAAGCGAATGAAGTAAAGGAAAAAGTCTGTCGTGTCATTGATTTCAAGTTCTTATGTATATAGTATGGACGTGATCAATCAATTTCCGGTTATCTAAAGACAAGGAAGTGAAAAGTGAAAGTGAAATTAAACGAATTTGCAATGTCTTTATGACGTGTTTTGATAAGCTCGTATGAAAACAAAAGTAGGTCAGCCAATAGAGGGGCATGGTAACTCCCATATATATGCCAGTAGTCTGTTGGAAGATCTTATCACCAAACACGACGAAGATGTTATCAACCAAAAGCGTAATGATTTATGTATTTTTCACGACATAGGCTTCAGTCTAGTTCACAACTATATGTTTGTACTGCCATTCATTTTTCTTGTAAAATTAATTATACGTCTCATAACAATAGAACAAAGGCATTATTTCACTTTAGATATGGGTATGGTGGTGTACAGGTTGGCAAAAATCCACTGTTCGTATAAAATAAATGTTTTATAGAAGATTTAAAACGCAATCACACATAACTATCAGAATTTTAAAATTATCTAACCTTGCATAACAATTACAAAACGACACCTTACTGTGTATAACAATGAAATACTTTACATTTTATCTCATAAAAACGCTAACATTTTAATGATATTTTCAAAGGTTGTATAAACTTATATAATAAGTACAAAACGCTAAACGCTATCTAACCTTGTGCAACAAGTACAAAACGCTAAACGCTATCTAACCTTGTGCAACAAGTACAAAACACTAAACGCTATCTAACCTTTTACAACAATTACAAAACGCTAAACGCTATCTAAGCTTTTACAACAATTACAAAACGCTAAACGCTATCTAACCTTGTATAACAATTACAAAACGCTAAACGCTATCTAACCTTGTATAACAATTACAAAACGCTAAACGCTATCTAACCTTTTACAACAATTACAAAACGCTAAACGCTATCTAACCTTGTATAACAATTACAAAACGCTAAACGCTATCTAACCTTGTATAACAATTACAAAACGCTAAACGCTATCTAACCTTTTATAACAAGTACAAAACGCTAAACGCTATCTAACCTTGTGCAACAAGTACAAAACGCTAAACGCTATCTAACCTTTTACAACAATTACAAAACGCTAAACGCTATCTAACCTTGTATAACAATTACAAAACGCTAAACGCTATCTAACTTTGTATAACAAGTACAAAACGCTAAACGCTATCTAACCTTGTGCAACAAGTACAAAACGCTAAACGCTATCTAATTTTGTATAATAATTACAAAACGCTAAAGGCTATCTAACCTTGTGCAACAAGTACAAAACGCTAAACGCTATCTAATTTTGTATAATAATTACAAAACGCTAAACGCTATCTAATCTTTTACAACAATTACAAAACGCTAAACGCTATCTAACCTTGTGCAACAAGTACAAAACGCTAAACGCTATCTAACCTTGTATAACAATTACAAAACGCTAAACGTTATCTAACCTTGTGCAACAAGTACAAAACGCTAAACGCTATCTAACCTTGTATAAGAAATACAAAACGCTAAACGCTATCCAACCTTTTATAAAAAGTACAAAACGCTAAACGCTATTTAACCTTGTATTACAAGTACAAAACGCTAAACATTATTTAACCTTGTACAACAAGTACAAGACGCTAAACGTTATTTAACCTTGTACAACAAGTACAAGACGCTATATTATCAGGTAGGACAGTTCTAAATTGCGATTTAACAACATTACCAAATAATGACAAATTTAATTGATGTATAATGATGACCTAAATAATACGAATACTATTGTTCTTACTTATTGAGAGTACAGGACAATTCAATATTGTACGTTTCTGTAAAAGCATTAAGAACGAACCAGGAAATCATACAACGTTGTAATACACTCAACAGTTGGCTAAACAAATCTCCTGGTACTAACACCAAAATAATTAGTTCTTTTCTGGTATCGTTAGACAATTAACTTTTTCAATCAATTTGATTACACCTCGGTTTTGCTGTTTCCGACAAGAAGGCGTAAAACAATTATTTTTCCCTATCACATAGTTCGTGGCCTTCCTGTGTGAATGATCGATGGCGATGGTTTCTTGGGCGGCAGCATTTTAGTTTGGAATGGAGCTATCTTTAAGGAGAATTGGGAGACATTTTAATCCTGAACAGCACTTTTCCTAAAGATATAAAATACTGTTACTGTTGCATTGTAAAAACAGACTTAAGTGAAACTACATTTGCTAAATAGGATAGGTCATTCACTGATAAGACTGTATAACAGGTTCAGTATCTCGGCAATCGAATTTCTCATAAAAACCAATATTTTCCTTAGATTCTGAAACGATTGCACAATAAAACGAAACGCACTACAAATAGATGTGCTGCTCTTTCATACATAAAATATCAGAGACAGAACCAAAACACAGGCTTATAATTATCGATATTCTTTCATTTAAGTTTATACCAAAAACATAGGTGGAACATGATACAATATGAGCATAGTTTCATTTAACTGGTATCAAAGCAGAGGATTACACATTGTAATCATAGTTTTATGTAACTTTTGACGAGTTAGTAGGATGGTGTTAACCAAGACAAGTCGTGGTGTGTATCAAACCATAGCATTACACATTGTAAACATAGTTTTATGTAACTTTTGACGAGTTAGTAGGATGGTGTTAATCAAGACAAGTCGTGGTGTGTATCAAACCATAGAATTACACATTGTAAACATAGTTTTATGTAACTTTTGACGAGTTAGTAGGATGGTGTTAACCAAGACAAGTCGTGGTGTGTATCAAACCATAGCATTACACATTGTAAACATAGTTTTATTAAACTTTTGGTGAGATTGTAGGATGGTGTTAACCAAGACAAGTCGTGGTGTGTATCAAACCATAGCATTACACATTGTAAACATAGTTTTATGTAACTTTTGACGAGTTAGTAGGATGGTGTTAACCAAGACAAGTCGTGGTGTGTATCAAACCATAGCATTACACATTGTAAACATAGTTTTATGTAACTTTTGACGAGTTAGTAGGATGGTGTTAACCAAGACAAGTCGTGGTGTGTATCAAACCATAGCATTACACATTGTAAACATAGTTTTATGTAACTTTTGGTGAGATTGTAGGATGGTGTTAACCAAGACAAGTCGTGGTGTGTATCAAACCATAGCATTACACATTGTAAACATAGTTTTATGTAACTTTTGACGAGTTAGTAGGATGGTGTTAACCAAGACAAGTCGTGGTGTGTATCAAACCATAGCATTACACATTGTAAACATAGTTTTATGTAACTTTTGTAGAGTTAGTAGGATGGTGTTAACCAAGACAAGTCGTGGTGTGTATCAAACCATAGCATTACACATTGTAAACATAGTTTTATGTAACTTTTGGTGAGATTGTAGGATGGTGTTAATCAAGACAAGTCGTGGTGTGTATCAAACCATAGCATTACACATTGTAAACATAGTTTTATGTAACTTTTGACGAGTTAGTAGGATGGTGTTAATCAAGACAAGTCGTGGTGTGTATCAAACCATAGCATTACACATTGTAAACATAGTTTTATGTAACTTTTGACGAGTTAGTAGGATGGTGTTAACCAAGACAAGTCGTGGTGTGTATCAAACCATAGCATTACACATTGTAAACATAGTTTTATGTAACTTTTGGTGAGATTGTAGGATGGTGTTAACCAAGACAAGTCGTGGTGTGTATCAAACCATAGCATTACACATTGTAATCATAGTTTTATGTAAGCTGAGTCAACTTAATGTCAAAACATAGGATTATACATTGAGGCATAGTTTTATTAAACTTTTGGTGAGATTGTAGGATGGTGTTATCTAATATGAGTTGAAAATTATAAACATAGTTTTATTTAACTTGAGTCAAGTTTATAACAAACTTTATTGGATTTTTATTAAGTTTGTATAAAACAATAATAAAACACAGATATGTTTACAAAAGCACAACCGAGACAGTAATTAAAAGAATGCAACACATTAGCAAAGGAATTATTCCCACGGGGACACCAGAAAGTGTAAAACTGAAGACCAAGTGTTTCAGAAGGATAAGATTTCTGTTTAATCGAAGACACGAACCAATTTAGCTATACCAGTAAACATTTCAAAAATAAGTACAAGAGATAGTCTGTTTTAAGTGTTGTATTAAATTTCAGCATTCTGCTTGGGGCCTATTTCACAGGTAGACGCATTAAGATATTTACAAATATTGATTTTACTCTCAAAGCATGAGATAATGTTTAATAAACACAGTGTCACTAAGCGGTTTTCTTTTTTAGGGGAAGAGATAGTGAGAGATTTTTCAAATAGCTATCAGTTGAAGAGTTAAAATCAGAGCAACATAGAATTGTTTACAAAGGAGTGCGACCATAAAAAAATAAATTTTCCTCTAGACCTGCACATGAATGAAAACGTCTATCTTCAAACACACTTAAAGTTTAATTAAATAAACAAGGCAATGCAGTGGCGTTGGAGACAGTAGAAACCTCTGCAATGCAATTTGTCGTTGAATCGCAGTACATAACACAGTCAATATAGCTAATTGACTTTTAAAGTAAACGGATAATGTGAAACTGATTAACATTTATCTATATAAAAATGGATAACATATGGTTTCATGCCACTAACAGTGAATTGCTGACACAGACATCATCAGCCTTTGGTAGTGCCATCAATCTTTCCTATGGTAATTACTTGGAATCCCATACGGTTGTCCCTTTAATCAAACTGCTTTTCCCTTATGCAATCTTCATCCCTTGGATTCATCAAACACTACCCTTCAGTAATCAGACAAATGCCAATACTTTCCTCTCGGTTTTACTGAGAATGTCAACAGTCCCTGAGCTGTTCATAAAATCATTGTTCCGGTGTTTCCCCTGAGTGGTATTGAAAATGTGTTCCTAATAAAGACGTGACTATCTGTTAACTTAGTTCCACATGGGAAACCTACCATATTCCACCGATTATTTTCTCGATGCTCTTGAAGATATGCTTTAAAGTTTATATTTTATTAATCTAAAGATTTTTCTGAATTCATGGGTTTGTTTTAACGTTGTATTTTCTAGGTTGCTGATTCTTATATTTATTGACTTGAAACGATAAATTCCTTAAGAATTCATCATTATCTTTTGATATTTCTCAGCATCTTTGATTTCTATAAATCGGATATATCTCATCAAAACATTCCAAAACACACATGTGATTTGTACTTTTCAATACCAATAAGATGAAGTGTAGTTTAAAATGATGTAGTACTTCTTCATCCTGTTAGGACACGTCAATTATTTTCAGGGCTTTCAATGTTAAAATCAAGGAGGCGACTGAAGAAAACAAAACTGGTTGAAATAAATGCCAGAACCAGATTGGCAGGTGTGCCAGAGTAAAACTTCTTATTACACAACAAATAGTAGATGTCAGTGTGAAATTTCGATTGGGAAGGTGCACTTTCCTCGGGATTTTATTAATTGATAAATTTCAATATCCTATAATTTCGAAAGGACATCAAAAACTTGAGTATTTATTCTGAAGCGTGTCGCTATTGGAATGAATTAAAATGTGATGTTAATTCTCACCTGTAGGGGTTGATCCGAGAGTGCGATCCATAAGCTCAACCACATTGGTTTTACCGCCATTAAGTGTCTTTCCTTTAGAAGCATCTACAATCATTCTTTTTAAATTAACATTATCATTCCTCAGAAGAGCCATGCTGTCCTTAACTTTCTTAAGTGATGTACGTAGATTTTGAAGCCCATTGTTAAGGTTTGATATGTCTATCTCCATTCTCCTATGTGAATCCCGTAAACTCGAACTATCTTGTATTCCGGAGTCAGCTTGATTGTGACGACCCCTAAGGCTCGGGACACCAGTAGTCAACTCCACCTCCAGGGATTTTAGTTTCGTACCTAATGAATTTATAGATTTGTTCAAAGACATTGAATCTTTTTGGATTCGGTTTTGGGCGTGCTTGATGTGAGAGTTTTCTGAATTTAGGTGCAAAAGGTCCCGTTTCATGAGGATCCATTCTGCTTTCAAATCATTTACGCCGTTTTCTAGAGCAGATGTTTGTACATGTTCTACCTGATTGCTGCTTGAAAATCCCATTTGTCCAGCTCTTTGAGGAGCTGGTGAAGTTGAAAGTCTGTTCTTTAAGCTCGCATAGTCCGTTGTGAGATGGTCAAGCCTTCTCACCATGTCATTAAGCTCTCTTTGAAATCCAGAAAATCCTGAATTCAAAGCCCTTTCTTTGACTTTTGACCCTGCTCGTCTGCCACCTCTAGAAGTTCTGTTCTTATGACACAAATGCATTTCTGTATGAATTTCGTTTCGAAATTGTAATAATGTTTTGTCAAGAAAAGATGACATATTAGCAAATTCTAGCTCTAAATATCTCACCTTGTGTTCAATATTTTCATCCGGTCTCCAAACTTGAAATGTATAAGAACATGTATCCGAGACCATGTCATGGCCAGTCACAGATGTCGAAAGATAACACGCCAACAATGTACAAACAAAGTGGAAAATTGTGAGTTGACCCATCCTAACTGGCGCCTACATCCAAATTTAGCAATGATAGTTTCTACGTGGAATAAAAATATATATATTTCATGCTAAGAAGTGGAGCTGATCATCCTGTAGCCTTGGATGGCCTGTCGTGATGTCATAATTCACGAGGTTAGAAAGCAGACTACATTCTCAGAGCAAGTAAAAATAAGTACACATTCGATAGACGGCATGTTCAGGGAATTTCTCGTCTAACTTAATTTGTCCGACTGTAACTCGTGATATCCCTCAAGAAACATGCACAATTATGGTAAATTCTAAAGTTCCCAAGATCTTTGAATGATGTTTTCGATTACATTAAAACATCCGTAGATAAGCCCCACTGGTATGCGTACCATTTAATGTAGCACTGGTCCCGCGGCGTTCATCCGACGCTGGCAGTGCTTACCGCCCAGTCGGTCTCAAACGAACGTTTTTGATTCGATAGAGAGAACTTGCAATTACTGTTCTGGAAGGTAGAAGGAAAACAATGGTTAAACCCACACTGGAAGGTAATGAACGGAGCAATCCACATAGTGTTTGTCACTGTTAACCAATCAAACCCGGCTCTCCGTATAATCAGAACTGCTCTTCCTTACAGCAAGAGGCCACCGAGGGATAATATTTTAGAGATTCATGAATGTTATCTCACAATACATCTACTTCGGATTCGAATAGTTATGCGTTTTTATTCTTTGATTTTAGAGTTGCACGAACATGTATTTAGATTTTCAGTATAAGTTGTGCGTGACGGTATGTGTAATATAGTTTTAAATTCAGCTGTGATATCAAAGGATATCTTAAATAAAACATAAACGTTGAACCAACAAACAACTTCTCTTGTCCTGTCACACAATAATTAAATATTTACTACTTTTATGACAATTGCACTTCGTGCATTTATCTTTATCACAAACCCAGGAAAGCACATGGAAAATGTCCTGGATAATGAACTCCTCTTATGGTGCTTTCAACCACTATAACGATTCCAATTGTCGTATATCTGGATTTATGGTCGTAAAATCCTAGTACAAAGAGCTAATTTCTAGTAGAATTAATAAATATTATAATCATAACTGCTCATATCAAAAACAGATGTCGCACCACTAGTTTCATGTTTTGGTATATATAATTTGATTGGATATCTTTCGTACACAGCATACTAGAAAAAAGAATACTAAGGAAAAAAGCATCTAGTACAATATTCTACTGTGGTCTATTTGAAACGAAAGTGTAATATCCTGTACAGTTATCTAATAGTGTTGATCAGTTTGCCGCGTTTTAATTCACTCGAATAGTGGCACGGTTCAGAAAATACACATGAACTTGACGCTTTCTCTTAAATTATCTGGTGTACGAAAATTACGATTTCATCTAATTATGGGTCTGCTTCACCTCCCCGTCTAGATTTTCACTTTTCTTTTCATTACTTTGGTCGTCTCCTAGACTTCAAACTTTTAGCATCACTAATGCGTCCTAGAAGGACGAAACAGCTGATTGATGCTGTTTAATTCATTGTTTGACTCTACTGTATCTCACTCTTAATTATGAAAAGGTGTTATTCACTTGTTTGTCTTTTGTACAATGTAGTAAAATTGTCTCATATCTAATAAAATTCTCACATAGCGTGTACGATCGTCTAAAGTCTAGTACAATTGTTTAATATCTGTAGAATTTTTAATATCTAGTACAAGTGTCCTATGTCTAATACTTAAGCTACAATCTCATATCTAGTTTAATGTTCTAATATATATATATATCTACTATCTGATTTCTAATACAGCTGTCTTATATCTAAAGCTACCATCTGATTTCTAGTACAGCTGTCTTATATCTAAAACTACCATCTGATTTCTAGTACAGATGTCTTATACATAAAGCTACTATCTGATTTCTAGTACAGCTGTCTTATATCTAAAGCTACTATCTGATTTCTAGTACAGCTGTCTTATATCTAAAGCTACCGACTGATTTCTAGTAAAGATGTCTTATATCTGAAGCTACTGTCTGATTTCTAGTACAGCTGTCTTATATCTAAAACTACCATCTGATTTCTAGTACAGATGTCTTATATCTAAAGCTACCATCTGATTTCTAGTACAGCTGTCTTATATCTAAAGCTACCATCTGATTTCTAGTACAGCTGTCTTATATCTAAAGCTACTGTCTGATTTCTAGTACAGCTGTCTTATATCTAAAGCTACCATCTGATTTCTAGTACAGCTGTCTTATATCTAAAGCTACCATCTGATTTCTAGTACAGCTGTCTTATATCTAAAGCTACTGTCTGATTTCTAGTATATATGTCTTATATCTAAAGCTACCGTCTGATTTCTAGTACAGCTGTCTTATATAAAGTAAAATTGATTAGCATCTAGTACAACCTCTTAGGTCTAGTACAGTTGTCTAATATCGAACACTATTATCTCCTTCAGTTGTCTGTTACCGTGTACAATTGTGTAATACATATATCACCTTCAACCGTCACAAATATAATAAGACCGGCTTATTTATCTAGAACAACATGGTCAGATATCTTGTTCATTTAATTTCGTAAATTAGCAATCATTCGTATTACAAATAATGTACTGTAACTTGTATAATGACATAGTAGAAAGATGTTTCAATACGGGATGTCTCGACTGATAATGTAACAAATTATCTCCCTTTCAAACCAAAACTGCTCTGTGAACCGAGCATAATTGATGCTCCCTTGTGTTATTCGGCGCTGAAGGATTTTGAAACGAATCAATGACTACTAATTAGAAATGTGTTACCCCTAGAACATTAAAAAATCAATCACCGGTACTTCAATGATATCCTATTTTCGCAAAAGACATTGAGTATTAGACAAGACAGTGACGAAGTGTGTATTTTGTGCCATTATCGCAATGGTTGTGTCATTTACAGGCGTAGAACAAAGAGCAAGCATTAACAGGGCGTTTAGTGGTTTGTTTAGTGAGTGGCGCAGACTTGAAAGATAGTCGTGGAGACTTGACAGCACTGCCATGGGAAATCGGCAAGTGTAGATTGATTTGAGAAATAATGGGAGAAATCTCGCAATGTGCCATCTTTATTTGTCTGTTTATTTTTTCTGTCTTTTAATTTCATGTAGCCGTATTACATTCACAGTCCATCCTCATGGACTTCTGCCTTTATATCCTAGGGCTAATGGACAAAGACAATTAATCAAATACCCAAGGAAGACAAAAGGCTTATGTTGCATTATAATTAAACACTTAACACCAGTCAACAAGTGGTTTAATAGTAGCGGAAATCCGAAACACAAAGCGTTCGTTGTAGACATTGTTGACAGGGATAATTACTAATTCTGTCTATCTAAACGGTAATGAAGAAAATACGTTTTGTTTTTTGTGTTTCACAATTAGCGTTATTATCAGTTTAACTAGATAGTCATACCTATGTGACTTTAATACGTCTGTAGGATAAATAATACAGTAAAAAAAGATGTGATCCTCCAGTAAAGCAATTCTTTTATGTTTCTGTTGTAAGCACCTTTTTCTCTTTTCTGTGTAAGTTGTGCATGTAATGAAGGCGTTTTACGACAAGACCAGTCTGACATTTCTTTTATATTTCTCTTCTGCCTTCGTTTTAAAATATATATTTATATCCATAGGTCCTTGGATACATGTATCCAAATGTTCCTGAATATAATACCACATGTCCCTAGGTATATGTATCCAATTATCCTTGTATATCTATATATGGAATCACACGTCCCTGGGTTTATGTATTTGCATGTCCCTTGATATATGTATCCACATGTGCCTGGATATATATGTATCCACATGGCCATGGATATACATGCATCCACATGTCCATGGATATATATGTATCCACATGTCCCTGGATATATATGTATCCACATGTCCATGGATATATATGTATCCCCATGTCCCTGGATATATGTATCCACATATCCATGGATATATATGTATCCACATGTCCCCGGATATATATGTATCCACATGTCCCTGGATATATATGTATCCACATGTCCATGGATATATATGTATCCACATGTCCCTGGATATATATGTATCCACATGTCCATGGATATATATGTATCCACATGTCCCTGAATATATGTATCCACATGTACCTGGATATATATTTATCCACATGTCCATGGATATATATTTATCCACATGTCCATGGATATATATGTATCCACATGTCCATGGATATATATGTATCCACATGTACCTTGACATGTCTATATGTCTATGTGTCGCCATGAAAACGTTTAATGCCTTGTCTCCTGTGGTAAAGGAACACAACGGTGGATGCCTCGTATCTGTGATACATAGATCACACTAGGACAAGCTTCACGTGGCACATACACCATGCTGGATATCACATGATACATGATCCCGTCTTGGTTGCTATCACATGGTACAGTAATAACAATGAGTCGCGTTTGTGATACAGAAATGTCTTACCTGAGTGTCCGGTTTCGTCTTGATTGAGTTGATTTCCTTTTGAATTGAATGTTGTTGATTGTAGTAGTCACGTTGATCAATATTCTAGATAAAAGTATTTTGGATGTGTTTATATTAACTTTGTGTGGTGGAAATTTGGATATTTAATTATATATGAAAATTTTCTATCGTTTGTGTTGTCGTAAACATGATTTCTGTAGTAAGTTCACTTTGAATGATTTTTTTCATTGCTTGGACAACATGAAATAAAAAAATCTCTGTTGTGCTTGGTTTCGTTCGATGTAGACATGTTAATTAACACAGGTAATAAATCTTCATTGCGAATTAATAAAAATCAATCAGTCAACCAACACGTATTAACTGATGCACGTGCAGCAATCATGCATGGAAATACATACATAACCTATAACATCGGGAGTTTTACATTGATTGCTCTAAGTAACGCGTCAGTATCTGACAAAACCGGCATTACAGCACTGGATTAGATCTACTGCTTTAATAATAGTCGTTGATTAGTGCAAGAAAAAAATCAAT